TATAATGATAAGTGCTGGTGTTGGAATGAACATGTGATTATAACTCTACTTACCTAATAAGTTTGTAAATGTTAAAATAAGTTTCAAAAGACTGACACCAGGTTGACGCAAGCAAGCAATCGAGCAAGCAAGATAGTTCATGCCCACTATAAGAGCCTTCAAGATAAATTCCCCCATGTCTATAAGCAGAAAATGATAGTTGCATATTCAAAAAATAAGAACCTAAATGATAATATTGTTCATTGTAAACTAAGAACAATCAGTACATAACAGATACTATACTTCTCGCCCATTGGCGAGTTATTTTTTCTAATTTCAGATCAGAATAAGAACAGAAGAAAACCCAATTTCAAGACCCTTAATCCTAATTTCTGAATAAAGTGTCTGCTCCACCCTAGGTCTGTACATTTGGGAGAATTAAACCCTCCCTTCCCCGAAATCAAACGCATAACGCTTAAATCATGTGTCTGTAAACAATGATTCCGCAAATCCGCCAATGTTTAAAAGAGATGAAATGATGTAAGCAGAAAATTAGATTTGCTAAGGATTTGATATGATTTGCTCATGTCGGTTATTATTGAGTTATCGTTTGAGCTTGAGTTTGCGTTTGAGTTTTAGTTTTTGGATGGGTTTGTGGACCGTGGGTGAGCGGGTCTTCACGTAAACGTGGCGACTTCGACGATATTAATGTCCCATCTTTTCGATTGCTTTGTTTATAGTTTAGTCTTATTAAAACTTCATTACAATTTATTTGCATATTGTTATCGTCGTCTGTCATAAATTTGAATGACATTGTGCAATCTCATAGTTGAACTTTTGCCATCTCAAACGAGCAAGGTCATATTACTCATATTTGCATAAGGAGGTTGGAAGCGACACAAATAGATACACATTCTTATTTAATAATTATACCTATCAAATTGATTGTCAGAGTTATTATGACTTAGCTTACTAAAATGACTGTACACCAAGAAATATACATTGGTTATTATAAAATGTTTTAAAACATTCATTCGTTTTCAAACAAAAATTTGTACACAGCCTTTGGAGCAACTTGACTTTTAAGTCTTTTCTGACCCTATTCAGACAGTTTCGATAGTTTGGGAATTCGGAATTTACACCCACCACATAACGTAGCGTATTCCCTCGACCACTTCGATGCATAATTGTAAAGGACTCCAGAGCTCCAGATGTAATTCATCTTTTTGCAAAGGATAAGGTCAAACCCTTATTTAAAAGAAAATATACATACTTAATCGATTCTATTACGCTTTGAGTGGCTGAATTTATATAGACTGCTCTAATTTGATAACAAGTCTAACCATGCAGATTCTTCCATCAGAAAATCGTTAAAAGTGTTCCAGATAAATCAAATTGTGATGTATGAGAAGACCTCAGTATTCCAATACAGATTGATTATTGGTCACGCTTTATTTAAGATCGACATTGATCGATTTACAATATACAACAAGGTATGATTTAATGTACATTTTCATAAACAAAAGGCTTCACTGCTATAAAGTGCTTCAAACAGGATGAAGTTTTAACCATACATATATTCAAAAAGCGTTAAAGATTTCCAGTAGTTCATATATTACCAAATAACAAACATTTGAAAGAACGAATTGATCAGTTTCTCGAAGAATGGAATGAAGATCGTTTCCAGATCGAAAAACTACATTATTATAATATTATGTTCTATTCAAATTCGTTTAAGACCATATTTGTATGAAATAAGGCTTTTCAGTCAAAAGCAGAAATTCGGAATTTTTTCAATCTTTTGAGAAAATCTACTTTGAAGTTCCACCTGAATTTTCAAGAGGAAACTCGCTTATATGTGAGGAAAAGTCTGAAACTATAAGTTCTGTAACAGGAAGAGTTTTAAAGGTGAGCATTTGAAATTTGGAACATAGCAACTTACGATGGGTGTGTACCTTCAGTCCAAATTTCAGCTTTTCAGCTGTGATAGTCTTCGAATGACAGCCTGTCAAAGTTTTGGTCTTAACGCCAAGCAGTGCAACGAACTCTATATATGCTGGCAGTCGACCCCCACCCCTGAACTAAAATGGCCATAACTGAAGAAACTTTGGGCTGCTTTAACCAGACTTAGATGTGGATCGCACAATTTACGAATCGAAACGGGACAATATAAGTCTAGATTACCAAGAACTGAACGTAAATGTGTATTATGCTGTTCAGGTGAAATAGATTAATTATCTTTTTTGATATGTTAAAATGGATATCGAAGCACTAAATTACCTGAATGTTATAACAAAAAATTTATAAACCTGCTTGATACTGATAATCGAAAACTACTAGCAACTTTTGTATAATATATTTAGTTTTTACAAAATTTGAAACCCACCTTCACGAGATATAATTTAGTGTACATAATAGTGGTTGGACCTATATTCTCGCACATAACGATTCATTATCGAATTTCATCAAAATTAAACAAACGGAAAAATTTCTCTTTATGTCTGACATTTCTTTTCATCAGATATGCAATAAAAATAATTAAAATTGTTTTGTTTCTTTTTCTTTATGAATCCGTCACTTTGATCCATATTTCCTGAGCAACCAACTCGACAACGGCTGCAAAATACGTCACCTATTTCGTGTAAAAACACGTTGTATGGATACCGAATGGTATTATTATTCCTTTATTTTCATTTATGAAATTGAAAATGCTAATACTTCCATGAATAGAAAGTAAAGGTGTTCTAATGACTTGGAAAACACCAGTTTGTCCGTAATGAATTCATAATTAGCTAAAATAGAAGAGAATAAGAAAACACATCTTTAATATCTATTATAACTAATGCCAATATTGCTTCAAAGATCAATGAATTAAAAACAATATTGACTGTAAAATAGTAATATGTAAAACTTAAGAGATTAGAACAAGTTACTGTTCAATACAAGGCGCCGGCACTATTGTGGTGTTACATCTTAAGAATAATTTATTGCCTACATAATGTTCCATAGATTTTTTCTGCTGATATGGAATCCGCTACTTTGTCACGTCTTTGTTCACTGGAATATGTTAAAGACGACGTAATTTGGAATTCCGATTATTGCTTGGAAATTTGGCCGATCCCAATTGTGAAATAATATGAAAATACTAATAATAATGTGTCATTAATGTGGATGTAAATAATATGCCAAGAATTATTTGGAACAGAGAAGCAGTTTCATTTAAAATCGTCTCTTGTAAAAGAGGGTAAAGCTTAGGATTATTCATTTGATGCGTCTGTAATATAAACCTTCCGATTCAGAGTGACTGAATGCACTTTTCTCTCTCCTTTTGATAACAATGTTTTGTCTTCCGTGAATACATTCATGGATTCACGCTCTGAAGCTGCAGGCTTCTCGTTCGTGATCGAAGGATTGAAGATTCTGCCTGGCTTTTTTGGAAATTCTTTTACTGATGTGTATACAGATAAAGCCGATTTGAGCGCTTGGGGGTGTCTGTACTCTGTTTAGCTGTTGTCTGAGCTTGGTGCAGGAAGTTTTTGCAGTCTGGTCGCTGGTGTTGAACGAACATGTAAATCAACGGAAGCTGGCTTAGAATCATGGCGGTATATATGATTGACTATTAAGGATAAACACCAAAGTAAGACTGAATTTCAGTTTCGAAAGTGTTTCGGTTTAGGTTAAACAATCCAATGATTGAGGTGTATTTCTAATCAACAGGGAGATTCCATGCTGATTTGTGCTTGGTGTAGTGACAGGAGCGTTTGGTAGCATATAGATTGGATTTTGATGGAGTGATTGTTACTGTTAAACCTCTTCACTGCGGGGTGAATGAGCGAGAAGTAAATGACTAGGATCCACCGAGAAGGAGCCAGGGTGGGTGTAAAATCGCCGAGTTCAGGAAGATTGATTAGACTGATCTTTATTTTGGTCACAAGGTAGCCTAGTACAAGTTGGTTCAACAACTGTAATGGATACTGGCACAACACTTGGCAAACAAACTGGCACAGTGTTGAATCATGTCGACGAACTGGAACGACAACACTGTTGGATGGAGTGAACGAACAGGTGCTGTTTTACTGTGGAAGAGATAATATAACATAAGATTTAAGAACGGCTTTATTACACGAGGCGACAACGAAAACAACATCCGATTTCAGGAATGCTAAAAGTTATTTAAATAACTGATGTAGTATAATAACGCACTAACAATGAAATATTCTTAGATGCATGACACAATGGCTAATTTAAACTGGGACTAGCGGGTGGCTCGCTATGACGTCACAGGAAAGCCACGTGCTTTAAGCGTGAGACCCGAGATAAAATAACCAATTATTACCGCATTATTAGCCATTGTAAGCCTCAAATACATACTACACTTTAAGTACAAATGACTTATGTCTTAAATATATTTCAAATAACTGAAGTAAAACAGTGGTATAACCTATATTCGTGCATGTATGGATCCAACACCGAATTTTATCAAAATTAATAAAACCGAAATTTTTGTCTGAAATGTTTCTTCAGATATGCTATAAAATAATTAAAATTGGTTTGTTTCGATTTTCTTTTTGAATCCCCACTTTGACCCATATTATATGAGTAACCAACTCGATAACCGCTGCAAAATGAGTCACCAAAGTACAAAAACACTTTGTATGGATACACAGTGGTATAATAAAAGTTTTTTTAATATCTATCTTTAATATCAATTCATTATAATGACAATTCCTTAAATGATTTGAACACATTGGATGAGGTCAAATCTCGTGTTAGTGTTCCGTGTTAGTGTTAACACCAACACATAACACGACATTTGAACTCATTCTTCGTGTTAATATTGTATGTCTTGTGTTACGCGAATCTAATATTACATTTTCATTAACACCATATAATTGCAAGGTGCTTAGCGAGGAGTCCCCTGTGCTTAGGGCGATTTAGGCTGGCGGGGTGTTTTGTGGGAACCGGTTCTCCGCTAGTGCGGGAAAGTCAGTTATGAATTCTTTTTTAACTCCAGGCCAGCTTCAAAAGGGAGAGAAACCCTTGGTAGATCGAAAGGGCAAAAGCTGGATGCTTTTCAGTAGGAGGGATCCGTGTGAAAGCAAGGCCAATCGATCCTTTTGTGTCGTCCATAGAGCGCAAGATGTGTCAGAAAAGTTACTAAAGGGATAACTGGCTTGTGGCAGCCAAGCGTTCTTAGCGACGTTGCTTTTTGATCCTTCGATGTTGGCTCTTTCTATCATTGCGAAGCAGAATTCGCCAAGCGTAGGATTGTTCACCCACCAACAGGGAGCGTGAGTTGGATTTAGTCCGTCGTGAGACAGGATAGTTTTACCCTACTGGTAGGGAACTCTTTATGAACGAGTGGCTACGAGCGGATAGGACTGAATAGTACAAGAGGAACGTTGGTTAGGGATTGAAAGCGTTGATGCTTGCTGGTTTATTGCCTTTGTGTGAGTCGTACTCTGTAGAGCGCCCTGTTGTGGCTGCGATGCGTTGACTTTCGCAACTAGACGGACAGAGCTCTCTAATTTATTTGTGTGTTAAGCGAATTAATACATACCTACTTTTCATTTCAATTGTGTCTTCTGCTGTTGTCTTGTGTCCCCCAGGTTGGAGAAATTCGAAAGGAAGGGAGGGGGAGGGGAAAGCGCATAGTACGAAACCATGGTCGATGTTTTTGCAGTTACAATAGATGAGACAATTTTTCATATGGGGAAATATATCAATAAATGAGGAAGTATTTCATAATGAAAGTGGTATCAGATGTCAAGAATGGTAAGCATCTCCTGCATGGTCTTGGCGTTGAATTCGAATGATTACACCGTCAATATAGAGTATGATATCTTTGTTATTACCATCAACATCTCTAACAGTTGTTATTAAATTAGGGTATTCCTCCGGGTGTGGTAATTTGATGAATCTTGGAGCAATGCTTAAGAAACAATAGGCAACCTCATAGACGTATATCAAGGTGGTAGTTTTAGCCACGCCACTGGAGCCACCTGAAGCCAGATATACCAAAAATGTCTCCATGCGTTTTTGATAAACACACATTTGTTTCCTTGCTGGGTCTCCATCTCTAAAATCATGATACTCATCTTATTCATGTTGATTCACCCAGATATGACGTTCAATCGGTTCCGCACTTGTAGCAGGTTGCCTTTCCAAATTGTCGCCTCTATTTTGTGCAGTAATAGCTTGAGCAACCGGTATAAAAACATTTTAAATGAAATAAAATGGCTGCTAACTCCAACACTAAACTTGAACTCATGCTCGTGTTAATACCCTAGAGATTAGTGTTAGCGCAGAATTTCTAAATCCATTTTCAGGTTTATTTCAGACGGAAATCGATTAGAATTTGACCGGATGTCAAATTGTAAAATAAAAGCGATTGCCAAAGGAAATTACATAATTATGTCATTTTCACCCGCAAATAATGTGTTCAGGTAACCCCTGAAATCGCATCTTCGATATTAACACTAAAACAAAAGAAAAATCGTGTTAATCGTGCTTGCTTAATACCAAGTTGATAATTTTTATATCAGGGCTAACACGGAACAACAGTATGTCAAGTCTTGTGGACTAACACCAAATAAATCGCGTAAAGAAATAATGAATACGTTCAAATAAAGCTTTAATATACTATATCAAATCATCTAATATATTTTAGAAATTTTAATTAAGGCTAAAAATCCATACATATCGGTTCTGTGAGATCTTTAACAGCCAGGAAATCATACCGATAGTAAGCTTGTGTTACACACTCCGTGTTAATATCCAACTACAGTGTTAGTGTCCAAATTCGGTACTAACACCAGTGTTAACACTAACACAGAACACTAACACGGGATTTGTGTTTCATAGATTTTTTCTGCTGACATGGAACCCACTAGTTTGTCACGTGACTTTGTTCACTTGAATATATTCTAGCAGACGACACTTAGAATTCCGAAGAATGTCTTGTCGAACTGAGGATATTCCATGGTATATAGATGGTATAACTAGGAAGTTGGCTAATTGCTATAACACATTCTTGTGGTCTGTAGTCTACTCTATTGTCTTAATGAAACCTTATAGTTTTCTTCTAGAACATTTTAGGCACCTTGTATTTGAGTTGTAACACTACAGTTTTGGAATCTGGTATATTCTTCAGCAGTTACTAAATGTCCAAGATATCATACCTGTTGGCGGAATATTCAACATTTGCGAGATTCCTTTTGTCAACTATATAAGGAAGACAGCATTTGTCTCTCCCATACAGTCATTCATGAAAGCTTGAAAAGCCGCAGGGGCCACCTGACAATCCGAATGGAATGCGCTTCCACGAGTTATGCCCAAGGCGAGACAAAAACTGTGTAGGGTTTACATTCTTCACTCATCACTCATCGGTAGTAGGCTTGACTACCGTGAGAAATAACGACTTCCACCAAGACTATCAAGGACATCTTGAATTCTAGGTAGAGAACTACTGTCAGCTGTAGTTTTCTGATTGATTTTCCGATAATCCACACATAACCTCAATTCTACATTTTTCTTACGGACACAGACTAATGGACTTGAGTACGGGGATTGTGTATAAATCACACATCGAAACCACATCTAACATTCTTGTACCTGATAACCCGTTTTCAAATAACAGTATTTATTTCTTGCTTTCAGATTTTTCCTTTATTGATAATCTAGGCATGATAACGGTACGCTTGTCAAAAACTATTCAGTATTAATAACGCATTTTAAAAGTTCCAATCCCCTACATTCCAAAATCCCCATTGTGCCCAGTTTTCCCCACTGTCTCTTACTTATCAAAAGGCAAAACTATTCCTATATGACTTATTTGCCCTTCATAAGAAGATTAAAAATGATCTTGACTTCAGTCAGTTTGACTGGATCACGATATTCTGGTCATAGTTTCCTCTTAATTGTGAAATACCAGCAGATTTGATAAAAGTTCAAGGTGATTGGCTGAGCTATTCTTCTCAGAGGTATTTGGATACATCCTTCGAATTAAGACAGAAAGTAACTTTTGAAATTAGTGGAGGGGAACTACATAAATGAAAAGCAGTTTCAATACTTAAATCTGGATTACAAATCAGGCAGCGACATTTTTATTCCTTATCCAAAACTTACAAAGATCCATCAACTGAATGGTTTATTCCTAACCAAGTACCTAAAGGGCGTCTAATCATATCGGATTGCTCAAGTGAATCGTATCGTATCTCAGAATACCTTGATCATTTTCTTTTACCTATGGCATCAAAACATCCGGCATATATAAAAGATACTAATGATTTTGTTTCAAAAATTAAGGAATAAAAATACCTAGCAATGCTATCTTAATTTCAATGGATCTTCAAAGCATGTACACTCGGATTGATATCCCAACAAAAACCTACAAACTTATTCGATAAAATGTCTGGATAAACAAATTGAAAACAATACAGCCAAATGGTCTTAATGTCCAAGTGGATTATCAAATTATTCCATTTGTTGTACTTTTCAATAGCACAGCTTGCCAAGCCATACCAATTATCACGGAACTGTACAGGGAACTCCAACAAAAATTCCCTGATATATTTCAAAAAGATTTAGTTATGCTTTTAAACGCAATAGTATCTTAATGATATTTGAGTCCATGGTAGACTTAAACTCATAGCCCAATCATTATATGTAATTATATACATATTGTTTATTGTATTGTTACTATGCCTTGAAAATATGAAATTGAAACATGTTGGCAGTAAAAATTAACTATCTTTATCGGCGTTATTGATCTAATTTAACTGTAATTATATATATATTTCTATTTTTTTTACAGACAATTGGTTCCTGTCCATTTTAATTTAATACTCTCTCTTTAGTTCATAGGATGTTGGTTACAGAAACAGAAAACGACGAACTTCATTCACATTAATATATATACTCTATTATTTTAGAATTATTTAATTTGTAATTAGTATTACTTTATAATTGAATTTCATTACTTTATAAAAATCACGTTGATTAAGCTGAATTTTCAACTCGGCCTGTGCTTTCGTAGCTTCAATTACATGTTGTTGCTACAACCACTCTTACCTAGGTCAATGTGTAAGAAGTAAAAAATTAAATGGTAACGTTAAATTTCATGATTGTAAAGGTTTGGGAGTTTGGAGACGTAATTGTTAGATTTTAGCATTAAGGGGTATCCATTTTTATACATTTTTAATAAAATCTTTACTCCCAAACCTATCTCCTTTTTTCAGTGAAATAGAAATTAAGCTGTAGGAGGTGAACTACTAGTACATACACGAGTTCGAATCTTTGAACTTTTACATGGAATAATTTGATTTCTATGACCACTACGTACTTTACAAATAGGATCGTCTGATTTTAACAATCTTACCACATTTTTTAACAGATTTGGCATTTAAATTTGGAATACAATTCACAAAAAACACATTGGAATTGTGACAAAAAATCTTAACACTAAAACCAATTATAGGCTGATTCATGTGCTCATCATGCTCTGTAACTAGAGTGATTTATTATCTAATTCGAACTTTAATTCAACTTCAAATTTCGTCTTCAGTGACGTGCTACTTCTTTTGACGTGATACCTCAATTTGACCAGCCAAACTCAAAAGTCTTGATTTGACCTTGAATCTTGAAATCTCTCCTTCAAACTTCAATATTGTTATGTTTGAGTTGTTCTGGGTTAGAACTGGTATTAGTGTTCTCTGAGTTCGTGACTGCATGTGTCTGTTTTAGTTTAATCTAAATCACAACTTTTGGACAAAATAGTCTGTAATCGAATCAAATTCTCTTGAGCTTCTTCTAAATCGAACAAACTGTCTAAAACCTTCATTGCTGGAAGTCTAGTAGAAACTTTTGTTGTATCTAAATTCATTAAGAATATTCAACAGTTCATCTAAGGATAACTGTCAGAGATTTCCTCTTAAAATAAACAAATCTTCTTCAGTGGTTACCGGACAAGCCCCCAATTTGTTACAGTTTTTCACAACGGGGAGAATGAGCAGAGAAGTAAATGACTAGGATCCACTGAGAAGGGGCAAGAGTGGGTGTAAAATCGCCGAGTTCAGGAAGATTGATTAGACTGATCTTTATTTTGGTCCCAAGGTAGCCTAGTACAAGTTCGTTCAACAACTGTAATGGATACTGGCACAACAAATGGCAAACAAACTGGCACAGTGTTGAATCAAGTGAACGAACTGGTACGACAATAGTATTGGATGGAGTGAACGAACTGGTATGACAGGTGCTGTTTTACCTTGGATTCAGG